CCCATCAGCTTTGGCCTCAAATGGCACAGCGGGCTGGACTAGAAGACCTCGAGGGTCTCTTCCGGCTGTCGCTGTGTTAAAGAACGCTTAAAAAGAATGCAAAAAGGTAGCTGGGTGAGGTTCGACGTTCCGCCACAGGAGGGCACTGCAGACCACAAAAAGAATTTTGCCTCTTCTCCGTGGCAAATAGGAGAGGTGGCTAACAACCTTGAGCGCAGGTTTGCTGTGTTACACCGGGACTCTCTCCAGGTGTGTTTGAAGGAGACGCTTTTGTGTTTCCTTGACTGGCCAGCTCGGACTTATTATTTCATTTCCTGGTGCTGTTTTAAAAAGCAGACAGTTCTAACCAACAGAACGCTTTTTTTCATCAATAGGAGAGGAGATTTTGCGTTCACGTTTTTTTAATTGCACGGTGATTTTTTTTTTAAAAAAATTTGTTAAATGCTTCTTCCAAACATGTAAATAACGCCTGTTTCCTCACTGATACTTAGATGCTTTTTTTGTTTAAAGAAAAAAATCTTTGTGTCCTTTATGATTTTTTTTTTTGCCCTTGGAATGAAATTTAGTAAAGGAAAAGGGGGCATTCCCCCTCCCCCCCCATGGCATTCCATGCATCTAATGTTTAAAGCTTTCCCCAACAAGCTTCGATGCATAAGGAGGAAGAATAAACAGAGTTGGAAGGGACCCTGGAGGTCTTCTAGTCCACCCCCCTGCTCAAGCAGGAAACCCCATAGACCATTTCAGACAAATGGTTGTCCATTCTCTTCTTGAAAACCTCCAGTGTTGGGATGCTGAAAAAAAAGAGCTTCTGAAACACAAAAAGAGTTGAAATCTCAGATCAGGCATTAAAAAATTCCCCCAACTTGGGAAAACAATCCTGTTTTTTTTTTTTTTTTAACAGATGTGGATCACAACAGCTGCAGCTGGACGCTAGGGGGCCCCTGAGATCAGAAGCAACACTCCACACCAAGGTTGGCCCGGCCACATTTCAGCAGCAACGTGCAGCCTCCTTGAGCAAACACACAAATCCGTTTCACGGCAGGGTGTTTGCAGAAAATTTAACACTGTGTGTAAATTCGTTTAGTTCCCTTTAATAAAAATAATAATAATAAAAAAACATCTGCAAAGCATGCCAAAATGAAGCTTCAGGAAGACCCCAGAGAGCCCAGCATTTCACGGCTAAGTTTCTATTTATAATTGTATTCTAAAAGGGGTAGCCAGGTTAGCTGGTAGAAAGAAAGAGAGAGAGAGAGAGAGAGAGAGAGAGAGAGAGAGAGAGAGAGAGAGAAAGGGAAGGGAAGAAGTAAGGAGAAAGAAAGAAAGAAAGAAAGAAAGAAAGAAAGAAAGAAAGAAAGGAAGGAAGGAAGGAAGGAAGGAAGGAAGGAAGGAAGGAAGGAAGGAAGAAGAAGGAAGGAAAGTTGGAATAAAGAAAGGGAGGAAAGGAAGGAAAGAAGGAAGGAAGGAAGGAAAGAAAGAAAGAAAGAAAGAAAGAAAGAAAGAAAGAAAGAAAGAAAGAAAGAAAGAAAGAAAGAAGAGCTACAATGGAACCAGAAAGATACTGGAGATATTTCTGGTGGAAATTGCTTGTGTTTAAAGACCATAGTATGATATTCAAGAGGCTTCATGGAGTGGCGTCATGGATATTTCTTTCTTGCCTGGAAGGGATCTTGGAGGTCTTCTAGTCCAGCCCCCTGCTCAAGCAAGTCTCCCCCAAGACTATACTTTCTAAGTTTTTAGGGTCAAAATCTACACGCTTCCTAGTGATAGCTCTGCATATTACATATAAATCCCCCTGGTCTTGTCCTCCATGTTAGTAGGGTGCCAACAAACTCATTGAGGTCCCAGTGTGTCCCAACGTACGGAGTATTGTACACCAGCAAGAGAGTCTGTAAATTTAAATAAATATCCCTGATCTAAATGGTTGCCATTTCTCCTGAAGTGTTATTCATGTGACAATTCTCTGAAATTTGCTTCCATAGAAACTGGAAAGTGGTTTTCTTGGCATCCTAGTAGCTGAGAACTTTTTTATTCTCTCTCTCTCTCTCTCTCTCTCTCTCTCTCTCTCTCTCTCTCTCTCTCTCTCTCTCTCAGTGTGTGTGTGTGTGTGTGTGTGTGTGTGTGTGTGTGTGTGTGTGTGTACAAAGCACATGGTGTTGTGTTCCCACCAAAACGGAGAGGGAAGCTTCACCTAAGATCTAATAACCTCTCATCAGTTGCCATCTAAAGATTCTGAAGCTCTTCCTGTCCTTGAGATGAGCATGGACTTAGAAAGTTCATTTTGCGACCGTTCACAATTACAACGGGACGGGAAAAAGGGACTTATGCCCGTTTTTCACACGGCCGTTGCAGCCTCCCCGGGGTCCCGTGATCAAAATTCAAAGGCTCGGCAACTGACTCATAGTTAGGATGGCCTCAGTGTCCCAGGGTCACGTGATCCCTTTTAGCAACCTTCTGATGAACGAAAAGAATGGGAGAGTCCAGACTCACTTTGCAACCGTGTTACTAACTGAACCACTGCCAGGGATTCAATTAACGACATTGGCCAGAAAGGGGCAAAACTCACTGAACAACTGTCTCGCTTAGCAACATAAATTTTGGGCTCGGTTATGGCTGTACGATAAAGGGAGAAGAATTCAGTGCCTGTAGACAAATGGCAGGCAAACAATTAAATCTCTAATCTAATCTAATCTAATCTAATCATCCACCCACTCACCCACCCAAATTTGTCTGTCTATCCATCATCTCTCTCCCCCTACCTATCCATCCATTATCTATCTGTCTGTCTGTCTATCTATCTATCTATCTATCCATCCATCCATCCATCCATCCATCCATCCATCCATCCATCCATCATCTATCAATCCATCCCCTATCTATCTATCTATCTATCTATCTATCTATCTATCTATCTCCATCCATCCATCCATCCATCCATCCATCCATCCATCCATCCACCCATCTAACCATCCTATCTATCTATCTATCTATCTATCTATCTATCTATCTATCTATCTATCTAATCTCCATCCATCCATCCATCCATCCACCCATCTAACCATCTATCTGTCTGTCTGTCTGTCTGTCTGTCTGTCTGTCTGTCTGTCTGTCTGTCTGTCTATCTATCTATCTATCTATCTATCTATCTATCTATCTATCTATCTCCATCCATCCATCCATCATATCTATTCCTCCATCCATCTCTCTCTCTCTCTCCCCCTCCCTCCCTTCCCCTCTCTCCCTATCCCTATTCCTATCCATCTTCTGGCTGAAAGCAGCTACAGGAAATATTTCCTGGGTGATTTGAGCACTCAAGAAAGCCGAGCAGTGATTTAACTGACTACACTCTTCAAGCCTACTGACATTTAAATGTTGAAAGCAGATCTTTTGTGTTGGTTCTTCCTGTTGATCCCTGCGCCTCCAATTTGCACGCTCCGCTGTGACTCTCTGCAACCCTGGGCCAGCCTGGCTGCTGAGATGGGAGGTGGACCCTCTGATTTCCCAATCTGCCTCTGCCTGTCACGGAACCGACTCTGAATGGGGTGTGTGTGTTTGTGATCAGAAGAGGTTTTGCAAGAGAGGAAGTTGTTTGGATTTACTGGCAGAGCAATTTCAGAGCTACCAACGGTGTCCCCCAAGAGAAACGAGGAAGGCCTGAACTGCTAGATTTATTCCGTGATGAAGGCCAATCAACTCACACCAAGTTTTTTTTGTTTTTTGTTTTAAAAACAACAACAACAAGGAATCACCTTTCCTTGGTGCCACCCTACCCAAAGATTTCATTGTTTAACAAAGTCTGGGAGTGGGCAGTTCTTTTGCCAATATTTTTTGGGGTGGACCGCAAACTTCTCAGCAGTGATGTCAACCAAAAGAGGGAAGTAGCCTAGATCTGTAGTTTCCTGTCTACTGTGATGAAAAAAAAAAGTGTTTTTAAGATGTTTTTAAACCACACGCTTAGGGAAGGACACTGAGAGCAGAAACCAGAAGGAAAAGCAGCATAACCTCCCTGAATAGATAGCCTCATCAGCTCTTGTTATTTATTTAAAGGCTTCTCGCTTTTTAATGAGTTATTATTATTCCCAAAGGGGGGCTAACCAAGATTCCTTCTTTTCTTCATTATTGTAACAGCCCTGCGACCCCGTCAGATTTTATTAATCCCAGGAAACAAATGAGGCTGGTCGTAAAAGGGACCAGGCTAACCTTTTAAAGTGGAAACTCAACTGTCCATAAAGGCAATCCACGTTTTCTGGCAAAGCCGTAACTGCTGGGAGAAGCAACCCAAGGCTCCATTTTAGATATAAACAGGTTTTTTTTAATTGTTTTAATGTTTTTTTTTTAAAATTGTTTTATGCTTTTAGAATTGTAAGCTGCCCAGAGTCACCAGGTTGAGTTGGGCAAGTGTAGAAATAAATAAATTTAATGTATTCCATTTAGGCACTAGGATGTCCTCTGGGTATGTCAGATGAAAGATAAATCTGGTGAATCTGACCGTCAATAAACCAAAAAAAAAAAATGTGTTATCGTCCAAATTCATAATGGACTCATGAGGCCCCTACCAACTGCCTTGTTTCATCTTGTTTTGTTTTTATTTATTTTTTAAATATTTTTCTTTGGCCAGCGACCCGTAATTTATTGATATTTTGTATTTCATTTTCTCCCTTCCTCTCCTCTCTTCTCTTCTCCTTTCCCTCTCTTCTTTCTCTCTTTTCTCTCTTCTTCTCCTTTCTTTTCTCTCCTTCCCTTCCTCTTCTCCTTCCCTTCACCTCCCCTCTTCTCCTCTCCTTTCCCTCTTCCTCTCCTCTCTTCTTTTCTCTTCTCCTTTCCTTTCTCTCTTCTTCCTCTCCTCTATTCCTTTTTCTCTTCTCCTTCACCTCTCCTTCCCTTCACCTCCCCTCACCTCTTCTCCTCTCCTTTCCCTCTCTCCTCCTCTCCTCTCTCCCTTTTTCTTCTCTTCTCTCTTCTCCTTCCCTTCCTCTCCTCTTCTCCTTCCCTTCCCCTCCTCTCTCCTCCTCTCTTCTCCAGACTCCAACTACTCTTACTTCAAGGTCTTGGTTTGCAAGGATATTGATGCGAAGCTGTCAGCCTTTTCAAGTAGACAAGACATGGAATGTCCCCAGATGAGCTAATTCAACTTTATTGCAAGGCGACATTAACCGAATCTTGTTCTCTGAAAGGACAAATCTCCCCGTCTCCTTTACAGAACAGCCTGAGAAGTCAAGGGTCCGTGCCTCTTTCTCCACCCATTATTCAACTGCAGAGGAAAACATTGAAGAAACAGGAAGGCAGAGTTTGACTCAGCATGGAAAATGAAAGAGAAATAGCAGAAGTCCAGAGCTGAGTATCTCTTCACTTCAAGGTCAGTTCAGAGCTCCAGGAAGATCCCTTTGCTATTCAAACTTGTTTGATGTTTGCAGATGTGGTTAAAAGCTGCTCACAGCTTTTTCTAAAGCTTTTTAATTTTTTTGGTCCCTGCATTTTTTTTTCCTTCAGAATAAAATGGATCTCATGTACCTATTCATGCAGTTAGGAATCGTATTGACGGCTTTCTAAAAAGTGAATAGCAATGAATGGGATTCTTACTCGCCCGAGTTTCTATTGTTGTTCTTATTTTTCGTGGGATTGAAAATGCACTGAATTTTCCCAGGACAAGGGTGAAAAATAGCGAACAAAGGCAAGGAGGAAGATTCAATGCCAAGATGGGTTTCAAAGACATTTGGGTTGAATTTCTTCACCTTGACTCAGGTGATCGGATCGAATCGGCGTTGTCCGATAGACAAAGCCAAACCGATCAAATCCCTCCAAATTGATTTAAGACAATCTGGAGGCCTTCTGCAGATTTCACCCCTCCCTCCATTCTTTTTTTTTTTTAAATTGATTCCAAATGGATTCGATTTGATGGCCTGGTTTGAATAAAACCGAGTTCAATTTTCTACACTGGAAAGTCTCAACTGAAGGGACTGTTTGAGTGAGATTCTGTCAGGTTTCGTAACTGCTGCTTGCATTCTCCTATGGAAATAATAATGGGCTTTTTATTTGTGGTTTCCCATTATGTTCAGCTTTTTAAAAAGGGAGCTCTTAAGCGTCTAGGGGTTTTATTTCACCGTTCTTCTGGGAGAGCAGGATGAGTGTGCGCGCGTGCGTCCGTTTGTTAAAGAAGAGTTATCAGTGGTCCAGGAAAGGAATGAATAAAAGATGATTTAAAAAGAGAAAAATGCGGAAGGAGGGAAGGAAGGAAGGAAGGAAGGAAAGAAGGAAGGAAGGAAAGAAAGAAAGAAAGAAAGTGAGTAGAAAGAAAGCAAAGAAGGAAGGAACGAAGGAAAGAAGGAAAACTGAGAAAGAAAGGGAGGGAGAGGGGAAAAGCGAAAGAATGAAAGAGAGAAAGGAAGGAAAACAGTGAGAAAGAAACAAAGAAAGAAGGAAAGAAAGAAAGAAAGAAAAAGAGAAAGGAAGAAAGAGAAAGAAAGAAAATAAATAAATAAAGAAAGAAAGAAAGAAAGAAAGAAAGAGGGGGAGGAGGAAGAAAACAAAAAAGGAAGGAAGGAAAGAAGGAAGGAAAGAAAGAAAGAAAGAAAGAAAGAAAGAAAGGGAGTAGAAAGAAAGCAAAGAAGGAAGGAAGGAATGAACGAAGGAAAGAAGGAAAACTGAGAAAGAAAGGGAGGGAGAGGGGAAAAGCGAAAGAATGAAAGAGAGAAAGGAAGGAAAACAGTGAGAAAGAAACAAAGAAAGAAGGAAAGAAAGAAAGAAAAAGAGAAAGGAAGAGAAAGAAAGAAAATAAAGAAAGAAAGAAAGAAAGAAAGAAAGAAAGAGGGGGAGGAGGAAGAAAACAAAAAAGGAAGGAAGGAAGGAAGGAAGGAAAGAAAGAAAGAAAGAAAGAAAGAAAGAAAGAAAGAAAGAAAGAAAGAAAGAAAGAAAGGGAGTAGAAAGGAAGCAAAGAAGGAAGGAAGGAATGAATGAAGGAAAGAAGGAAAACTGAGAAAGAAAGGAAGGGAGAGGGGAAAAGCGAAAGAATGAAAGAGAGAAAGGAAGGAAAACAGTGAGAAAGAAACAAAGAAAGAAGGAAAGAAAGAAAAAGAGAAAGGAAGAAAGAAAGAAAGAAAATAAAGAAAGAAAGAAAGAAAGAGGGGGAGGAGGAAGAAAACAAAAAAGGAAGGAAGGAAGGAAGGAAGGAAGGAAGGAAGGAAGGAAGGAAGGAAGGAAGGAAGGAAAGAAAGACAGAAAGAAAGAAAGATAGAAAGGAAAGTAAGACTCTATGATGATATTTAACTTACCCGAAATGGGAAATCACTTTCTAGAAAGCAAGTTCCTCTTTGCCTTTCTTTCACACCCCAATCTATGGTTCAGCAGGATGTGCCGTTGAGAACTTTTATGAGCAAGCAGATGGACTTTGGGCCAAGAAGACTTCTCCCTACGACTTTCTTTTTTGCCCCTTTACTCCCTTCTTCCAGAAGACTGCCTCTTCCTTTCCATGGATTCGGCCGGATTTTGCACAAGGAAGACTATCTGCCTTCGTTGAGCTTCCTCATCCTCTTGATCAATCTCCGTTGGTTTTCATTTTTTTTTTTTTTTTAAAAAAAGTCTTTCCCCTGAATGGGCCGAATCTGAAAATGCCCAGGAAGGCTGGGGTCTTTTCACCGTCATGTATCATGTTCTCCTTGGCGGTGCTTTTTGAGCTGAATCTGAAAACCAGGAGCCTCAGTCCTTGTCTGGAGGTAAGGGATAGCCTTTTGTGGGATGAAATGTTTAAATTGTGAATTGCAACCTCATAGTTTTGAAAGAGCTCGCTGCCTTCCCAGGGCTCCTTTCTTTACTGCTTCCCGACATCTCTCGCCTCCAGAAGTTGGGGGTGCTCCATCACTGGAGGTTTCTCTTAAGGAGAGATTGGACAACCATGTGCCCAGAATGGTGGAGGGTCTCCTGCTTGAGCAGGGGGTTGGACTAGAAGACCTCCCAGGTTCCTTCCGATGCGGTTACCCTATAATAATGCCAGATCAATGACTCAGTGGAATGGCGTGCCTCCAGAAGTTGTAGGTGCTCCATTAGAAAAAGAGATTGGACAACCACTTGTGGGAAATGGCGCAGGGTCTCCTGCTTGAGCCGGGGGGTTGGACTAGAAGACCTCGGGGGTCCCTCCCGACTCTTGTTATTCTCTGGTTCTCGTCTGATGAATTGGTAGGGTTTAAACATTTCTCCTTTTGAAACGAATCTGGGCTTGCCTTAGTTTGCCTAGCTAAGAAACGAAAATCCCGTACTTCTAAAACCGCGCATTTAAAAAAAAAAAAAATAAGAGAGGGCCTTGATTCAGAAAGGAATGGGACTGCTTAAAGATCAAAGTCACCAGTGTAGCTCAGAGTTGCAATGAGGGGGTCCCTGGTGCTCTCTGAGCTTGGCTTTTTTTTTTTTTGCAGACGTTTCATTACCCAACTAGGTAACATCATCAGTGCTAGAAGGGAGGGGGGTTTTCTGAGAGGAGGAGGAAGAGGAAGAAGAGGAAGAGCAGGAGGAGGCCTGTGGAGTCCTTAGTGCTCTCTGAACTTGGTTGTTTTCTTGAAGACATTTCATTACCCAACTAGGTAACATCATCAGTGCTAGAAGGGAATGGGGTTTGCAGGGAGGAGGAGGAGGAGGAGGAGGAGGAGGAGAACTGAGTCGTCCTTGGTAGCGTGATCAATCCTGTTACACTGATGACATTACCTAGTTTGGGTCATGAAACACCTGGAAGAAAACCAGCAAGCTCAGAGACCACCAGGGACCCCCTCAGATTATAAGGAAGGAGCGGTTTCAATTTCTAATCTCTTCTAATTCTAGACAATCCCAGGTCACTCCTACAGATGCATGGAGCTGAACCTTACTAGGATCCCTTCCGGTATCCCAAACAGCACCCAGATCTTGGATCTAAGTTTCAACCCGTTGAAAATCCTGCACTCAAATTATTTCTCAGCAGTTTTGGCGCTGAGATTTCTGGACCTCACTAGGTAAGGAGTCTGAACAGAAAAGATGCGAAGGTGAGGTAGGATAGGACCATATTTAGGGGTTTGTCTCCATATCCCGGGTCCTTGACAGATGGCAATCGGTTGTGTGAACTTAAAACCAGTGAACGGGAAAACCAGTTTAAGTAAAGTAATCTAGGCAAGTTATTTATTTTTTTTATCCCCGCTAAGTTTGGGACTTTTGATCCAAATACAATTCTACTTTTCCTAAATGCCACATTTGATCTTCATTGAAATAGAAGCTGGCTGCAGTCTGTTTTTTGCATTTTGACTTTAACAGGGATGGTTTTTTTTAGAACGTACCAGTCCTCAGTACAGGGGTCTATTTTTTCTATGTATATGTGTTTGTGTGTAGGAAAAATAAATAGCCCTTCATATCTTTCAACCTTTTTGAATGAATCCCTTTGCCTTCTTAAACAATGTATTCCTACGCTTGTCTTAAAAAGTTTGATTCACTTTTGGTTTTAACGCACACATTGTTCTCACTTCCCCTTCCTCTCTTAAGAGTTAATTTTTATGCTGAATGAGGAAGTTCTCAAATTCATTCTCTTATGAAAAGGCAAATCTTCAGTGCTCACCTTTGTCCTGATTCAAAGCAGAATCCAGATGTGAGCAAATGCTAAACCTGTATAAAATATGTCAGATAGGAAAGCTGTGCAAAGTTTGGAATTGACATCTATTAGATCCAATCTAAGTGACTATTTAGATCCAGTAGCCAAAGCAGGTCAATCTGTTCAATCCTATTTGGGCATGGTTTAAATTGCAAATCTGAATCAGATGGCATATTTACAGTTCTTGATTGTCAATGTAATCTTATCAAGGTCATGAAATAGAATAGAATGGAATGGAATGGAGTGGAGTGGAGTGGAGTGGAATGGAATGGAATGGAATAGAATAGAATAGAATAGAATAGAATAGAATAGAATAGAATAGAATAGAATAGAATAGAATAGAATAGAATAGGAATGGAATGGAATGGAATGGATGGGATGGAGTAGAGTGGAGTAGAGTAGAGTAGAGTAGAGTAGAAGAATAGAATAGAATAGAATAGAATAGAATAGAATAGAATAGAATAGAATAGAATAAGGAATGGAATGGAATGGAATAGAATAGACTTTATTGTCACTTTAAATGTACATTAATCAGCATACATTAAAATGAAATTTCGTTGCATTCAGCTCTCAAAGAATAACCGCCTCCAATATACACTACATAAACATGACAAAAGATTATGCATATAACTACACCCAAACACACACAACACAGAGAAACAGTACAGTCTAGTTTGGATGTATACATAAATATGGCGGGGGAAAAAAAGAATCCTGTGAATTTACAAGACGGATGGCATAAGGAGCAAAGCTGTAGTCCTGCTAGAAATACTTCAAAACCTCCTCCCAGAGGGCAGCAAAAAAAAAAAAAAAAATGACAGCATAAAATTCGACCTTGACTGATACTATGAACTTTCGCCTTCTTTTCCCATCCTGTTTTCAATAGGTGTCATCTCTGGAAGATTGAAGACCATGCCTTTGCTGGACTCACCAACCTCTCGGTCTTGATCCTGACAGGCAATCCTCTCCAGATTTTGGGACCGAGGATTTTTCACGATTTACCCTCTTTGCAAAGATTCCTTGCCGTAGAAACCAATTTGTTCTCGTTGGCCAGCTTTCCCATTGGACACTTGACTTCTCTCCAAGAGCTGAATCTGAGCCACAACCGCATCGACTCCTTGAAGCTCCCCGGATATTTCTCTGACCTAATCTTTCTCCGGCATCTCAACCTCCGATTAAACAATATCTCCTCCATCTCGGTAGGAGACCTGGATGCTTTAGTGAGCCAGAACCTGACGTTGGTACTGTCTAGAAATGATATAAAATATATCGAATGGAACGCCTTTGAGGGACTCCACCTTCAGGAATTGGTTCTGAGGGGCTGCTTTGAGAATGGCGTAATTATGCAAGCTAGCCTCCGGAATATGTCCGGTTCGCACGTCAACAGTTTAGTGTTAGGAGACTACCGAAACATCCATCGACTGGAATCCATTGACAAAAGCCTTGTAGATGTCCTGTGTGACTTGCATTTGCAGGAGCTCACTCTCATTGAAGCAGACTCCATGGAAACTGGAAGCACCCTCTCGCTTTGTCTCAACAATATTTCCAGAGTGCGGTTGGTCCATACCTATATCGACGACACGTTTACGTTCCCAAATGACTCCAACCTTTACCAACTTGAGTTTAAGAACTCTGCACTGAACATGGTACCTGCGAAGAGTCTCTCTTCCTTAAAGAAACTAAAAGTGCTTCGCATCACTCACAATAAAAATCTCATATACTTGAAGAATTATTTTGAAGGCCTCCCAAGCTTGGAGACCTTGGACCTCAGCGTTAACAGGCTGGTCACTCACCTATCCTGGATTAAACTCATGAAGGGAGCTCCCAATTTGAAGTACTTGAATTTGAGCTTCAACACGGAAATCAGGTTAAGCATTGAATGCAGTGGGCCAGCCAAGCTGGAATATTTGGATTTTCAACACACCGCCCTCGCCTCACCCGGAACCGTTCCTTCGTTTTTCTGTCTCCACAATCTTATTTATCTTGATATTTCCTACACAGACACCACGGTGATTGCCGAGTGTTCGTTTTGTGGCTTGCACAAGCTGCGTGTGCTCAAAATGGCAGGCAACCGATTTGCCAACGATCAGCTGGTTGACAACTTCCGGAACCTCACGGAGCTGCATTTTTTAGACGTTTCCAATTGCCAACTCCAACATATCTCTCTCAGCAGTTTAACCAACCTCCATGAACTCCAACTGTTGAATGTCAGCCATAATAAACTGCTAGGACTCCATCCAGAGACCTATGTACACACCCCTCTTCTCAACACCCTGGACTTTCACAACAACCAGCTGGTTGCATTGACGGAAGAAGATCTTAAGAACTTACCTGCTAGTCTGAAACACCTGGATCTCTCTGAGAACCTTTTTGATTGCTCTTGTGACCATTTGGACTTCTTGCGGTGGACAAAAAACTCCTCAACTCTCCTTCAAAACATCAACAACATGGTCTGCTCTACCCCCATGGACTTAAAAAATGTCCCAGTGATGGGTTTTGACTTGGCGCCCTGTGAGATAAGCACTACTATAGTAGCTGTTTCAGTGACCCTTGTTCTGGTTCTGATCACAATCTTGATTCTGGTTTATAAATATTATTTCTACCTCTATTATACCATGGTGTTGTTCCTTGGAAACAGATCCTCAGAGGAGAAGGAAACTGTCTATGATGCGTTTGTGATCTTCTCCAGTAGGGACCAGGAGTGGGTGAACCAAGAACTGCAGCGGCCTCTGGAAGAGGAATTACCTTACTTCCGTCTCTGTCTTTTCTACCGGGACTTCATCCCTGGAGTTTCCATCATCACCAACATCATCAAAGAAGGCTTCCAGAACAGCCAGAAAGTCATCGCTGTTGTCTCAGACCACTTCTTGGAAAGCCGTTGGTGTAACTTCGAACTGGAGGTGGCTCAGTCTTGGCAACTGGTGGACAGCAAGGCCAGCCTCATCTTAGTTGTCATAGAAGGGGTGGACAAAGCAGCCCTGAATCGCAAACTGGGCTTGTTCCGTTATCTGCGGAGAAACACCTTCTTGACGTGGAAGGACCGGGACATCAGCCGTCATGTCTTCTTAAGGCAGTTGAGGTCAGCCTTGCTTGAAGGCAAAACATGGACTGAAGAGGAACTTAGGCTAATGTTGAAAAAGTAGGGAGATGTCTACTTTTGCTGTGCAACTGAGCCAGTCAGTCTAGTTCAGGGGTGTCAAACTGCCGGCCCGTGAGCTGGACACATCACATGGAAGCCACGCCCACCCCATTGCCGGCAATGGCAAAACCGGCCCGATACATTGCGTGACGTCATATGATATCACAAGTTTGACATGCCTGGTCTAGTTTAAGGAAGCCTTCAAGAATAGGTGGTCTCACCTTTAGAGTTTCCTAAGCTACAGCCAGATCCAGTTATTTGGGGAGGTGTTTATTTGGGATACACCAGCACTTCTATTCTTCTCTTCCCCCCACTTTTTTGTATTGTGATGATGATGATGATATCATTCAGTCATGTCCAACTCTTGGTGATTCCATGGGCCAGGTGTCTCCACGTTTTCTGATCTTGCACTGCTATTTTGAGTTGTTCTATGCTCTGGCTGGGATCAACTTTGATGGTGTACCGTATATGCTGGCGTATAAGACGACTTCCGGAAGCGCTAAACTCGGCGCCAAAGACAGGGTCGTCTTATACGCCGAGTCGTCTTATACGCCGGAAATACTGGTAGTTTCCGGCGTATAAGGTGACGTTCTAGGAATGCGGCTCAGCGATAAAGACGGGGATCGTCTTATACGCCGGGTCGCCTAATACGCCGGCATATACGGTATTTTGTATTGTGGGGAGACTTTATTAAGGTCTGTCAGCTTTCATGACTTTCATGCAGAGGTTGAATGGATCTTCTCTTGAAGTTATTTATTGCTTATGAATACAGAAAACTGATGAGGCATGCACTAAAGATGTTCAGATGTGGTCAGAGATCTTAAGACATGGCTTAGAATAGAGCAGAGCTGGAAGGGACCTTGGAAGTCTTTTAGTCAAGCAGGAGAACCTATACCTTGAAGCATTAATGTAGAATAAATATATAGAAAACAGGGCATCCCATCAATGGGAATCCTAAAGGTCCTTTTTCCAAAAGGCAACTTGACTTTCTTGGTTTTTCTTTGAAAATGTTTCGCTTCCCATTCCAGAAGCTTCTTGTTCAGTTCAATTCAAAACAAAGCTTCTGGGATGAGAAGTGAAATATCTTCAAAAAAAAAAAAAAAAACCCCAAGAAAGTCCAGTTGCCTTTTGAAAAGAGCATCTTTGGGACCACCAAGACCTGGATGGTTGAGTCTCACCAATGGGAAGTTTCATTTCGTTTCCTGAATGCGCCAAGATGAGTAGGCCAGATTTATGCACTGCTAGAAGTCCATTGGCTGGAAAAGAGGTGTTTCATGATGTTCTGGTCAACGACCTCTTGGAAATGCACAAAGTGTCCTCAGAAGACTTTTGACATCTTCTTCCACGTCCCCTGGAAGAAAACAGGAATATTCTGCTTCCAGATTGTCCTAAAACATAGAACATAAGGTTTGGGAGGGATCTCAGACGTCTTAGTAGTCCAACTGCCCACTCAAGGTAGGAGACCTTGTAACTGTTGGATGATTTAATATTTGAGGGGCTGTCACAGAGAAGAAAGAGGTCAACCTATTTTCCAAAGGACCTGAACGCAAGATAAGAAGCAACGGGTGGAAACTAATCAAGGAGAGAAGCCACCTGGAATTAAGGAGAAATTTCTTGATAGTGAAAACAATTAACCAGTGGAACAGCTGGCCTCCAGAAGTTTTGGGTGCTCCATCACCACAGGTTTCAAAGAAGAGACTGGACAGCCCTTTGTCTGAAATGGTATAGGGTCTCCTGCTTGAACAGGGGGTTGGACTAGAAGACCTCCAAGGTCCCTCCCGACTCTGTTATTCTGTAATTCTAGATGAGGAACAAGACAACTATGTAATAGGAGTAAGTGGAGGCATATTCTGGTAATGAAATTAATGACATGCTTTGTCCTTACTGCTCTGGGATTTTTATTTTTCTCTATATATGTGTGGTATCCAAGGAATAACTGATATGAAAAATGGGCACTGCATTTTGGCAGGAGCTGTGACCTTTTTTTTTAATGTTGCAAAAAAAATGTAAATTAATTTGTGCGACACTAATGGAAGTGACTAAGGAATCTTCATAAATAAAGGTCTTAATTATTCCGGTCTGACTTTGTCCATGCTTAGCAAGATAATGATAGCAAGAGAAGGGTGTAGCTAGCTGATGAGGACTAATGAGTCCGAAATAGCTATACTAGTCTCCCAGTTAAATCTTTAACTCTTTGTTAGCAAAAAGAAATCTGAATATATACATATATATAAACCTGCAGATGCGAGGTTTAAAAGCAAAGGTGTGTAAGGCAGCTTGGACCCCCTAAGGGTCTCAGGTCTAGCATTTCTCACCCTTTTCTCAGTTTTTTGTCTTGGTGTGAATGTTTGCATCCTTCCTTGTTTGTGAATGTTTGCATCCTTCCATCTCCTGATTTCTAATGCACTCTATTCATTAATTTTGGAGTCGGTTTTGTTTTGAATTGGTGGTCCGGAATATGCATTTTGGGTCATTCGTGATTCTCCTGTGTATATGTTTATCTTTGATAAACACAATTCACTGTGTAAATAAATTGCTCGTCCAACCCCACTCTCCTAAGATCCTTTGATTCTTATTCTCATCGTTATGGTCATGATAATAAAGGGTGTCAGGGAAACTCACAAGCAGCTGGGGGGGGGGGGAAATGATAATAAAGAGTTTGTGCCAATTGTGTTGTCAAGGGGGAAAAAAGAGCTCACGGAAGGCAGAACTCAGCAAACAGGACTCGGTGTGGCAGAAGGTAAAAAATAAGTGGCATGTTCTGCCAGTTATAGCTGGTCTATGCCCAGCAGGCTGGGTCAAGACACAGGTTATGGGAATTCAGGAAGGCGAAAATCACATCCCACGAAACAGGATTTTGTCTAAAACTCAATTATTTGGATTAGAAAGGGGGAGAAAAAACATCCCTTCCCAGCTGGAAGCACCTTTTAAAAAAAACAACGGGGAGCAAATATTCAATCCAGCACTGAATACTGTAGATTCTTTTCAAAAACATGGCCCTGGAAATTGATATTCCAGATGCAAATCACAGGTGACCTGGTGTCATTTGAGAGCGAGGAAAGATTATGTAGAAAGGAAATGTAACTAGCTTAGGTGTTGGTTTTGCCACTTATTTAGGGGGCAAACTTTTTTTTTCTTCCCAACTTTCCAAGCAGGGTAGAGAACGTTGTGTTTTTCTCCAACGGTTCAGGAAGAAAAAGGCCCCAATATTATTTCAACCGTTTTTGAAAAATTCTTTGGAAGGATCGACCTGAACGCCAGAGATTAGTCATAATTCCCCTGCCAGTGCTGCTTTCGACTGGCTGACAACTCATACCTTCAAAAATCCATTAAATTCTCATCTGAATATATTATCCAAAGGAGAAGAGATGCGTAGCAATTAGGACAGAAAGGGTGCTGATGGATGGCTTGTTCGTATACATTTGAATGTCATTGTAAGATGGAGAGGAAGTTGCCCAATTCTCCGCTGGGAATGGAGACAACAGCGCAGAACTTGGAGTGGGAGCTTTGCAGTACAACTGGGTGAAATGTTGGGATGGAGTCCCACCACAGATGTCTCAAGTATCATGGACAACCGAGTAGGGCTTTGAATAGGAGCTTTGTAGTATAACTGGATGAAATGTCAGGATGGAATCCCACCATAGATATCTCAACTATCATGGACAATTAGGGAGAACTTTGAACGTGAGCTTTGCAGCATAACTGGGTGAAATGCTGGGATGGAGTCCCACCATAGATATCTCAATTATCATGGACAACCAGGGAGAACTTTGAACGTGAGCTTTGTAGTATAACTGGATGAAATGTTGGGATGGAGTCCCACCATAGATATCTCAACTATCATGGACAACCAGGGAGAGCTTTGAACATGAGCTTTGTAATATAATCCCACCATAGAGGTCTCATGAGCAAGGCTAATAGTGATCTAGACTTTGGCGGTAAACAGGGCAGAAATGTGGCAGGCCTTCCCTAACTTTACTGTAGAAATGCATATGATTACTTGGTGGCAGCAAAGAGATTTCTGTACCTTATGGTCAAATTGTCAAAACAATTTCTGCATCATGGACAGAGTTATGCCTAGGGTGGATGTTCTAGGAGATCTCCAGCCATAGCCCCACCAAATTTTCAAATTTGGCCCAAAGAGAAAATAATGTTGTAATCTTAGAGAGGGGGGTTAAACTATTAATGTAAACTATAAATGTACTTATAATAGCGAAGGAGGAGAAGGAGGAGCAGGAGGCGGCTATTCTTGGAAAGGAAGGAAGGGAGGGAGGGAGGAAGAAGAAAGAAAGAAAGGGAATAAGAAGGAAAGAAGGAAGGAACCTTTAGTATCAAAGTATAACACGTATACAGTGAGATTGGCTGAGCCTCCCTCCGTGCCCCTCACCACAACTCTACAAACCCACCAACTAATTACACCCTGTGATCTAGGAAGGAAGAAATGAGGGAACGAGAAGGAAGGAAGGAAGGAAGGAAGGAAGGAAGGAAGGAAGGAAGGAAGGAAGGAAGGAAGGAAGGAAGGAAGGAAGGAAGGAAGGAAAGAAGTCCCAATTCAGCACCTATAAAAGGGACCAGCCACCTCCAGTGGGAACCATTAAGGAAAAACAACAATGCAAGGGCCTTCTTGGGGCAGACAGCCGAGACAGGAGAAAAAGAGTTGTATACTTTCTTTAAAAAAAAAAAAAAACAACCTCTTCTTACAAGTTTTAATGCCGTTGCGTTGATAGCCTTCCCTTGCAAATCACGGAGCGTGGGCAATCACCAGCAGCTCTTAATTGCAACGGGAAACGCCGTTTAGGGATTGGGCTGATACCTTGTGCATGAGCAATCTCTTTGCACGGGGAGCAGGCTATTCTAAACAGGGGGTGCCTGTGCTATTAAAAGGAGGCGAGAGATGGAGAGGAAACACCAGCCTGCCGGGGGGGGGGGGGGGAAAGGGAGAGGTAAAAATAACAGGGCGAGCTGAAGGTTGAAGCCACCTTGAGTGAAATCTTGGCGCAGCTCAAGAAGAAGCCGATACGTCTCTCCTTTTCCCTGCCAGCTCCACTTTGCATCAAAATCCGCTTTCCATGCCACCGAATGATTAAAGTTGGGGATTGAGGCACAGGGCCTGTGTGTGCACGGCCGCCTTTATTAAAACTGGGTCAGGAAGGGAGAACTCTCCCGATATCATTTTTTTAAAAAAAAAAATAATAAGAAAGAGACTGGCCCACGAAAAGCTCTTGAGGTGCCTTCCTATGTATTTCTACCACATTCTCTATCTCCCTCTCCCTCCCTCCCTCCCTCCTTTCCTTCCTTTCTTCCTCCATCCCTCCCTTCCCCAATGAATGGAAGCTAATGAAAGAGAAAGCCAACTTAGAACTAAGAAGAAATTTCCTAAAAGTGAGAACAATTAACCAGTGGAACCACCTGCCTCCAGAAGTTGTGGGCGCTCCATCACTGGAGGCTTTTAAGATGAAACTGGACAGCCACTTGTCTGAAATGGTATAGGGGTTTTCCTGACT